GATTTGGAACTCTTCATCTTCTTCAATCAGAGGTTAGTTCCTCTCTCTTTCTCTCACTCAAATCTCTCTCGATTATTCTTCAATTCAGTGATTCTTCTTCGAATTTTCTTCAGTTCGGTGATTCATCTCGGATTGTGATTTTGAAGTTTGATTTTGAGCATAGATTCGTGATTCATCTCCGTGGATTTGGAACTCTTCATCTTCTTCAATCAGAGGTTAGTTCCTCTCTCTTTCTCTCACTCAAATCTCTCTCGATTATTCTTCAATTCAGTGATTCTTCTTCGAATTTTCTTCAGTTCGGTGATTCATCTCGGATTGTGATTTTGAAGTTTGATTTTGAGCATAGATTCGTGATTCATCTCCGTGGATTTGGAACTCTTCATCTTCTTCAATCAGAGGTTAGTTCCTCTCTCTTTCTCTCACTCAAATCTCTCTCGATTATTCTTCAATTCAGTGATTCTTCTTCGAATTTTCTTCAGTTCGGTGATTCATCTCGGATTGTGATTTTGAAGTTTGATTTTGAGCATAGATTCGTGATTCATCTCCGTGGATTTGGAACTCTTCATCTTCTTCAATCAGAGGTTAGTTCCTCTCTCTTTCTCTCACTCAAATCTCTCTCGATTATTCTTCAATTCAGTGATTCTTCTTCGAATTTTCTTCAGTTCGGTGATTCATCTCGGATTGTGATTTTGAAGTTTGATTTTGAGCATAGATTCGTGATTCATCTCCGTGGATTTGGAACTCTTCATCTTCTTCAATCAGAGGTTAGTTCCTCTCTCTTTCTCTCACTCAAATCTCTCTCGATTATTCTTCAATTCAGTGATTCTTCTTCGAATTTTCTTCAGTTCGGTGATTCATCTCGGATTGTGATTTTGAAGTTTGATTTTGAGCATAGATTCGTGATTCATCTCCGTGGATTTGGAACTCTTCTTTGGTTAACTGAGTCAATTGATTCTTGATTTGATGGATGTGAGAACAAGACACCATGGTGAACCGTTTGCAAAGAGTAGTCCATACCTCGAAGCTATGTTGCAGATGAAGAACAGAAGAAAAAATTATAGGTGTAAGAGTAGCAGTTATACAACTGAGCAGATGAGCATCAGTCTTGTTCCAAGTGGCTTGATCTGGATTCAATACTTCAAGACCATTAGAGTCGGTGATCATCAATGGAGGACATGGAACTGATCCAATTGCAAATTCTAACAGATCTATAGCTCGTAAAACATTCTGAAATTGACTTCGCCGTATAAGGAAATTGGTGGAATCGAGTTTAATTGTGATGAAAGAATTCATATTGGAAATCAAGAGATTAAGATTTGCAAGTAAAGAAGAAGATGATGAAGAAGATGATGAAGCAGCCATATGTGGATTGGAACTATGCTCGTAGGAGCTTTATTTGGGCTCTGATACCAAGAAGAACAATTGAATCTCAATCATTATTTTTTATGATCAGATACAATGTATATTTATGCAGATGATATGTAACAAACTCCTAACAAACTATAACAAGCTCTAACTAGTAACTAACTTGAGTTAACAAACTCTAATTACTAACTAACTTGAGTTTAACAAACTAACTATCTTGAGCTTGATGCAGAGTGAGCTAGTGTAGGACTTGATGAGTTAGCTGTTAATGCTGAGGAGTCTTATCATATAATAATACAATTTCAAAATTATAGATCTCACCTATTATATAAATTATAAAAGTTCAAAGCTAATAAAATTATGCAACATCATTCATTAATACACTAATTGATATATCAATTGATACGTATAACTTTATTCATTATAAATATATGCGATTTCTTTAATTAGGTACGACATGTTGTTATATACTTCTATCTAATCCCATTAACTTCTCTTCAGAATGATGATTGCTTTTGCTTTCTTATGTCCTTTCTCACCAATTGAGCAGTCAATAACGCTAGTAGTTCGTTATAAAGCCTTCTACCAAGCTCATCCACCTGAAAATTGAATGGTGTATGGTTTGATGCATTGAGTAGTCAATGGTACATACATTTTAAGTTCGCAAATATATTGTTAACACCATAAATTTGCAATTTTTATTATTATTTATTATTTATATAATTGCAGGACACGTGGCATCCTTTTATTTATTTGGAAGTTAAAAGGAGTTATAGAGATAATGGAGAATGTGAAGGACAAAGTGGATGAGTGGAAGGACACATGGCAAGACAAGAATGAAGATGGAAGAAATGGGTAGTTACTAAGTAGTTATTGCTGTATTTTTTCTTCTATAAATAGCCATTAATGGCTACATTGTAAAGGATCCAGAACTTAAATCAAAGACAATTGATTTCAATATTTCTTTTCATTTTCCTTATCTTAGGAGTAGTTTAACATAGATTTATATTTCGAAGCATTTATTTTCAGTATTTCCATTTCGAAGCATTTTATGTACTCTCTTTTCGAAGCATAGGAGTAGAGGTAAGTATTTATTACTTTGATTGTTCACTCAATCATATTTCTCCGTCCCTTTTTCATAGGAGTAGAGGTAAGTATTTATTACTTTGATTGTTCACTCAATCGTCTTCCTCCGTTCCCCATTCTTCTTTTAATTTTTCTTTTCTTTACACTTGGCAATTTTGAAGTCCTCTTCGTTGAGGCAAAAGAACCGTCAACACAATCGCTTGATAATTGGCTTGAATTTAATCTGTAAGGATTTTTCAATCCTTGTTGGCACGCTCGCATTTATGATATTTTCCTTCGTAGGAAAAATAAGCCAACAGCAGCAGAATAGGTCATCCTGCTTTCCATCAAAGGCCATTTTTTTCATAAATAAAAGATTTCATTAAGAAGAGGCACCATGAGAGTGCAACTGATAAACAAAGGAAAATGGAAGACTTCATCATAAACCTATTCAAAGGTCTCTAAAGAATCCAAAATTTGGGTCAAGGATGGGTCAACCCTCTCCAAAAACGAACTATACAAAAAAGGACAAAATTTTACTCTTTACTCAAAATTTTTATCAACAAAAGTTCGTTTATGCCTCTCTCCCCAAATTATCCAGATGATTGCCAAACGGGCCAAGCACCATGCCTTCTTCCTTCTTCTCCCCACACTACACCTTTCCAATAATAGAGACAATCTTTCACATTACTTGGGATTGTCCAACCCACTCCAAACAAAAATAGAGTCAAAGACCACAACTCCTTCATCACCTCACAATGAATAAGAAGGTGACTCACAGATTTTGCATTGTGCTTACACATACAACACCAATTTTACATGCACTTGCCTCCGTCTAATCAAATTATCAATCGTGAAAATCACGAAGGGACACGCACCAAACAAAAAAAAAGCCACTTTGGACGACCACTTTGGATGGATCTTCGTTCCTCCCCAAGGACCAAGGAAATAACATTCCGTTATTCTATGAAGTATGGACACTCCAAAATCGGTGTTGTGGTGGTGTCTGATACGCGGACACGCCAGGGATACGTACGAGACATGCCAGATGGTGTATCCCTTTAATTTAATGAATTTTTTGATCCACCTCCATCCAGTCGATCGAAGATCCCCGACCCCATCAAGTCGATCGAAGACCTTCGAAGACCTCCATCCAGTCGATCGAAGACCTCTCTATCAGTCGATCGAAGACCCCAAACCTCCACCCAGTTGAGCTCCATCTAGTCGTCTTCCATCTGGACGACTTCGAAGGTAAGCTCCTCTCTCTCTCTCATGCTCTCTCTCTCCTTCTCGAAACTGTTTTTTATTTTTTATTTTTTTATACTTTATATATATTTAAGACTGTATTTTTTTTTTAAAAAAAAATTATAGGTTTATATATATATACAGTATGTAAAATGTCTATAATTTAAGACATTTTAAGACTATTTTCTCTTTCTTTCTTTTTTTTTTTCTTTTTTTTCCCCCTTCTAATGTGAATGTTAATTTATAATGGTTATAATTTATAGGAAAAATGTCTAGTTCAAATTTTGCCAATAACACACTATCTGCCTTTGATGCTGAAGATGATAAGCCACTGTGGAAATATGTGACTAGATTAGAAAAATCTGGTGCAAGAGGGGGGAACTACACTTTTCAATTTAACATTTTTTAGTCTACACGTAAAGGTTCATACACTAGGGTAAAAGCCCATTTGATGCAAATTAAAAATCAAGGGATAGAAGTGTGTCCAAAAGTAACAAGTAAGGACAAAGCTGAATTTGAGAGAGTAATTGCAGAAGCAGAGTTGAAATTGAAATACTCTAGGTTAAAGAAAGTCCCATTGCCTCCTCTTAGTTCCAGTGCATCATTAGGTTTATGTTTCAATGAACCAGAGGAGATCTATGGATCAAAAAGGAAGAGGTCAACTGCTATAGGGAGTGGAAGTAGTAACCCTATTATGAAAACATTTAATATTGGGGCTCGAGAACAATTAAATGGTGAGATAGCTAGAATGTTTTATTCAGCAGGCTTGCCATTTCATTTGGCAAGAAATTTTTACTATGTTAGTGCATTTACTTTTGCTGCAAATAACAACATACAAGGATATGTACCTCCTGGGTATAAAATGTTGAGAACTACATTACTTCAAAAAGAAAGGATAAACATTGATAGGTTGTTAGACCCTATTCGAGGCACATGGAGAGAGAAGGGTGTGAGTATAGTCAGTGATGATAGAGTGATTCCCAACGAAGGCCATTAATAAATTTTATGGCTTTACCGGTGGTGGGCCTATGTTTCTTAAAGCGGTTGATTGTTCAGGGGAAACAAATGACAAGTATTTTATTTCCAACTTGATGAAGGAAGTAATCGTGGAGGTTGGAGCTAAAAATGTTGTTCAAGTCATTATAGATAATGCCCCAAATTGCAAGGCGGTGGGGCACCTAATTGAAGCACAATTTCCTCACATCTTTTGGACTCCTTGTGTTTTGCACGCCCTCAATCTTGCCTTGAAGAATATTTTTGCTGCCAAGAAGGTGGAAAATAATTTAGTTGCATTTGAAGAGTGTAATTGGATTAGTGAGATTGTGGGTGATGTGATGATGATCGAGAAATTTATTTGTAATCATTTCATGAGGTTGGCAATGTACAATGAGTTTGTGAGTTTGAAACTTCTTTCAGTTGCCGAGACATGCTTTGCTTCTTCCATTGTCATGCTTAAGAGGGTCAAGTTGATAAAGCAAGGTATCCAAACAATGGTAATCAGTGACAAATGGAATTGTTATAGGGACGATGATATTGGTAATGCTAGGTTTGTGAAGGATAAGTTGTTAGATGACTTTTGGTAGGATCAAATCGACTACATACTTTCCTTTACTGCTCCTATTTATGACATGATTAGAGTTTGTGACACCAATAGACCTTCTCTTCACTTAGTATATGACATGTGGGATACAATGATAGAAAAAAGTGAAGATGGTGATATATAAGCATGAAGGAAAGTGATTAGAAGAAGAGTCTACATTCTATAATGTAGTACATCAGATTCTTGTAGACCGGTGGAACAAGAACAACTCACCACTTTATTGCTTGGCACACTCATTGAATGCAAGGTGATTACAACACAATTTACTATTTTTATTAATTTAAGCTTAATATTATTCTTTCACATTTATAATGAGTAGTACATTTTTTTCATTTTAAGTATTATAGTGATGTGTGGCTTCATGAGGATCCAAGCTGAGTTCCCCCACATAGGGATGAGGAGGTCTGCCTTGAGAGAAAAAAGTGTTTGAAAAGGTTCTTTGATGATCCAATGAAGCGCATTAGAGCAAATTTGGAGTATGCCAAGTTCTCAACCAAATAGGGGCCATTTGCTGAAATTGATTCCATTGGAGATAGATGTGATATGGATCCTCATAGTTGCTGGGTTGTTCATGGTACATCTGCACCCACTCTTCAATCTTTGGCTTTAAGGGTACTTGTGCAACCTTCTTCTTCGTCATGTGCTGAGAAGAATTGGAGTATATACTCTTTTATCTATTCAATGAGAAGAAACAAGATGACACCCCAAATGTGCAGAGGACTTGGTTTTTGTTCATAGCAACCTCCGTCTTTTATCAAGTAGAACCCCACAATACCTTGAAGGAGAGACCAAGTTATGAGATATTACGGGTGACACATTTGATTCATTTGACAATGTTGGGATGCTTGAGGATGCAAATATCTCACTTGATGAACCTGAGTAGAGGTTGTGTTGTTTACAGATGATGGAGGTGCAAACAAAGAAAAAGATGGTGATGCTAATGATGATGAAGACGTGCAAGAAATTGGATCTACATCTACTTGAAGCTTGAATTAATGTTACTATGTTAGTGTTTGTTAATTTTGATTTAGAGTAATATGAATCAACATAACACATAAAAATATTAAAAAAAAAAAAATTCGCCGTGTCCCCTGTCATGCCCGTGTCTCCATTTTTTGGAAATTACCGTGTCCGTGTCCGTGTCCATGTCCATGCTTCATAGCTGCTATTTCCTGTAAGATTACAATTGGACTTTTTCCCTTATTGAATAAAGTAGGATTAGAGGTAACTTCCCCATTACCATAATCCATATTCCAACCATAGACATGAATGCGCTTGAGTGCACAATTGACACAAACATGAATGCGTGTTGCAGGTATAGACGCACACGATGTTTCACCAAGTTCAAATAAGTTCCTATACAGCTACATCTACCCACTTGGATTCTGATTTGAGCAAGAAGATGAGAATTGATCAAACACATTTTTTGTTTGCTTCCAACTTGCACCATATCCTTTTGAAAATTTAAACATTAAAAACTGGTAGATTTCTTCTCAATTCACTTGTAAGTATCAAAGTTGAACCTAAAAATCAAAACCAGATACTGTTTGCAATATACTCAAAGAGTACTATCCAATTTCACTTAAGCTTCGTTTAGTCTTGTAAATTAGCCATCTTGAACTCAGAAATGATACAGAACAAAAATTCATTTTCCTGCAATTCTATAAATTATTAAAGGCCATTCCATAATGCTGGGCCAGTTAATCAAGGGTGATGGAAAGGATAGCCTCAGCCTGGGGATAGACTCAAACTTTTGTATTACTTGCTCAAAGTGGCCATCCCTCAAACTTGAACCTGCAATCCCACGTCTGGCAGCCCCAGCTTGTACAATAGCACTGAGGAATAATAAAATTCTTTCTCATGTAGAACTCCTCATAATAGGCAATCCTAATTTCTACTATGAGAGTCATTGATTATAGTCTCAACCTAAGAAGCACGGATCCTTCTAAGAAGGTGACGTATCTGTGTCATGTCCGTGTCGAACACCAACACTCTTTGGACACTCTTGGGACATGTGTCCAACACTCTTAAAATGTGTCCTATTTTTTAAAGATCTGGACACTCCTTGGACAATTGGAGGGCACACATATTTATTGCTTAAACACATGTGTCTATCTAGACACATGTGAAACTAATTATAAGTTTGAATTAAACAACTTAAGGCACAATAATAAAACAAAAACCATATAAATTTATAGGAATTAGTGTCATATTACATTTTTTATTATCTTTGAATGATATATTCGAATATATAAATATAATAAATATATAAAATTATATATTTCATACGTATCCCTCATGTGTTGTGTCCTTCATTTTTTGTCGGCATGTCCGTATTGTGTCACATGTCTGTATCCATGCTTCTTAGGTCTCACCTCATCTTGTGAAATCTCTCACAGTATAACTACAAACTCTCGGCTCAAGAAACAGTGAAACCACCAGTCTGGCCAAATTCTTAGCACCAAAATGGAAAAAATTTTAGCACCAAAATTATACTTTCCTAATTCTTAGCACCAAAATGGAAAGATTCTTATGCTCCACTAATCAAAATGCAAATACAAGACTTGAATAGAACAACATCACTTTACTTGTTTATTTAACTTTTTCCTTTCGTCATTATTCACATGAATGACTTTGTTATTCATCAGTAAGTAATTATATGAATTAACTCAATATATTTAAGAGTCAAGGGTTATATCTTCAAACAGCCTATATATTCAATCAGGAATAAAAACCCATATATTCATCAAGTAGCAAAGAAAGAACCCACTTGGAAGAGAAGTTGAATCATTCTGCAACCTCCTGGAGCCATTTCCTTCTGTCTGATCAACCACCCTCTGCAATTCAGTAGCCGAACTTGACGACTTCTCATCATCATCCACAGATCCTATTGTCTGGTGGGTTGATGATAAACTCAAAAACCCATTAAGACACTCCCATTTACGAACTCCCTCCTTGTCTTTCACCTGATAACACACAAACCCAGAAGGCTTTAAACTCAATTCTCCCCAACCCAGTTGAGGAACAACACTCCCCAGCTTAACAACACCGTTCAAAGCCATCAATGGGTTACCAAAGCAATACAATTTTCATCAGGAAAACTGTTCAATTCAAAGTAATTTATAATAGGTGTATGGAAAAGATTAAAGAAACACTTGGGTTAGGACTGGAAGATTTGGTTGAGGAATTTCGTTGAGCAGGTGAGGCGCACCAGCACAGAATTAGGTGAAGAAATGGTATTCAACAAGTTCAGCGAAATGTTTGAACAAAGATAGTGATGTGTAACGACCACATGAGTTAGTAATTTTGTTTTTTGATACTACGTGAGTTTGGTAATTTGGTTTTTTTGTTTGTGACATTGTTCTACGAAATCTAACACAACTGTTTGAAGCTTGGACAATGTAATGAGAATGGTCTTGATGAACCGCCCTAGGGTGTGTGGTAGGTGAGGTAACGGGTGCACTCGTGTCGTCGGGGAACCACTTCTCAACTTGACGGTGCGCTGGACCCCACCACGGTCTATTTTTTATGATTTAAACAGTACGAGTAATGATAAAGAATTTTAATATTTGGCCTCAATTATTTAGAGTTCTTTTATGCTGTGTTTGGTTGGGAGATTTAGGGAGAAATTTGAAAAGGAAAAGAGAAAAAGTGTGTGAAATTATGTGAAATGAAGGTATATTTTTTTCATATTTCATCTACCTTTTCCATTTCCCTTTTCAAATCCCTCCTCAAATCCATCAACTAGACACAGCATTAGGGTTTGTTTAAGAAGGGGATTGAATTTTTAATCTTTTTTAGTTATTTTTAATATATGGATTAAAAAGTCTCGTTTGTAAATAATTTTTGGTTTTTTTAATTTTTTTTTAGAGAAAAATAATGTAATTATTATGAGTTGAAAGTAATATTTTGTCTTATTAAAATAAAAAATTTATTTTAATTTTTGTAACTAAAATAATAATAATAAAAAAACTCCAAACTTAACTTTCCAAACGAAGTCTTAAGATTTTCTTTTTAGAGTTCTAGATCAATTTTCTTAAATTATTTAGAATTACTTCTTAGCTTGGGGGTGCGGTCAGGCCAACCACCATGGTCTATTTTTTATGATTTAAATTATTTATCTTTAAAGATTTTTAATGTATATTATTTGTTAATAAAATTAAGTTAATTTTTTAAATCATAATATTTTTTATTTTATCACATTATTTATTATAAAAAAGATGACAAATATATTTTTAAGAATATATTATTGATTTTTTTGAAGACAAATATGATAAATAAAAATGTTGTGATTTTCTAATTGACTTAATTTTTTATGGATATTATATTAAGTACTTTAAATTATTAAAAAGAGACATGTTGGAAGGTTTCACGCCTCTCAATTTTTCTGAATTGGAAAAATGTGTAATTTTTTTTTTTATAAAATTATTATTGATGCCAATTATTATGTGGATAATAATAAAATTCAATGACAGTCCATGAGAAAAGTCATATTTATTTGACATTTTTGTGTAGATGGCTAATAGAACAAATTTTATATCATTTTCCCATAAAGAATTGTCTTTGGCCCTGTTTGGTAGACCTGTGAGAAAGTGCTTATAACTTATGTTTAAACAACTTACAACTTATAACTTATAACTATGAACATAAGCTGATTTCTGACTTATAAATTAAGCATCTCCGGCCCCACTCAAAGAATAAGCTGATTTTTGACTTCCAAAAAGCTATAAGCTATAAGCTAAACCAAACACATCAAAATAGCTTAAATTAAGTTGAAAGCTGAAATAAGGTGCTTTTAAGTTCTGCCAAACAGGCACATAGTCTAACACCACTTCCAAAAGTTGGCCTTTTTTTCAGGTTAATGGAAATCAAGTGTTGGGAAATTGTCGAACATCTTCTGGCATCTGTGCAAAGAGATCTATCAGGAAACTATTCAGTATTTCATAGAAAATTTCTTTGAATCTTCTAGGAAACTACTCAGTCTTTCAAAGGTGTTTTCTTTGATCTTTTCCATTTCTCTGTTTGTTTTGTCTTCTATTGCTTGACTTGAGACTAATTGCAACGGCTGTTAACAGAAAGATATTCCATAAAGGGAAGAAGGCCGGGAAAAGGAATTTGTTACTAGAACTACATTTGAAATGGCTGCTGATCATTTATAGTTTCTAAAGAACAAATTCATCAGTGACTTTGAAGAAGCAGAGAGGGAAGAATTCATAGAATTCCCCCTACAGCTTGATTTTGTTGAGATTTCAGAGGTCTTGCATCAAAAGAGGATTGACCCCTGGACACCCATAGGACTGAAAGATCCTCTGTATGACCTCAAGTTCGCATTGGCTGATTGTGTCATGTTAGCAGAGAAGGAGAGAGACCGCATTACCAAAAACAAGAAAAGTCTCTTATTAAGCTCTCATCATTATGTCAAGAAGCAATGGTTTCCTTTGAAGATGGAGAGGAAACTTCTCCGCACCTCAAGTTTTCTGAACTTGAAAAAAGCCTAATTTAAAAAAAAAAATTATTATTGATGCCAATTATTATGTGGATTTATTCACTCAATATGATAATAATAAAATTCAATGAAAATCCATGGTCATATTTATTTGATAGTTTTGTGTACATGGCTAATAGAACAAATTTTATATTTTTTTTTTTTTTTTTTCCATAAAGAAATGTCCCTCTACTAGAACATGTCGGCCGTGACCGAGCTAATTGTAGTCTTCGGTTTGTATAGTTAGAGGTTATTTAGTTAAAGTAATTAATAAAGAAAAAAAAAATTGTAGAGATATATTTTTTGGGTTATCCATGTGATTGAGGTTGTTAGCCGAGGTACCACGTGGATGGACCAAGTCGTTACATTATATCTGAATTCGAGATATTCAGATAGAAGATCAGAGTCCTAAATGGTTTCAGGCTCTCTATTTGGATAGAAATGAGACTTTTAGGGGAGTCTGTTATTCTAATATAAATAAGAGGAGTTTTGGATAAATGATAGAGTGTAAGACTTTTAAGGAAAGTTGGACATTGATCATTATATAAAGAGAGCAGGTACTCTTTAATTAAGAGTTGTTTTACTTGTGCCGATATTTTGTGATATTGTTTGATTGACTTGATCATTATAGTGTCCCTGGGTGGATAGCTATCGTAGTATTTTTTACTCTCTTGTGCGTTGGTGATCGACTTAATTTATTTTGTCTCGTATTCTCCAACTAAGTTCCCTCTAAATATCGGTAAAGAAATCGGTTTGATTGTGAGGTCAGAAATCAACATTCATAAGACTAAAATAACTAATAAAACAAAATATTACATACAATTTATAATAATTTTACTTTTTCTCTTAAAACTATTAAATCAATTAAAAAAAATACTATCATCCTAAATATAATTTTTCTAACCAAATTAAAATAATTAAAAAATTAAATAACCAACTTAAAAAAAACTTATTCCTAAAGCGGACCTACACGTTGTATAGATAGAATAACAATAAACACTTTTAACAATGTCACCCAATACCTTGACCTCTCAACTGTGAGCAAGAGAGTAATACCCCTAAGTTAAAAGCCCATTGGTAATCTTTTAAAATATTATACTTTTTCACTTTTGACCTTGATAAAAAAGGATGGTCTCACCGGAATTGAGACGTAACTGCAGTCTCATTTTCAATAATGGCACAAAACTCATCCAATTTTCTATCTAATATAAAAATAATAATGCTTGATATCACTAATTAGAGCTACCACTAATGATGTGATAGTGGATCCCACCTACTGTCACAATGTATACTGTGCCTTGTTTTTTTTTTTTTTTTTTTTCATTTTCTACCTCACTAACAGTAGATTTAGAGCTCAAAATCATTACTGATATAAAAATATCATAAGAATTCTATCAAACTTAAGCAATAGACTAAAGCTGGTTTGAGATGTTCTAAAAAAGTACACTTTTTGACTTATTGGCTTATATGAGTTGGGTTTGAATTAGGTTTGATATGATGTGTTAGAGAGGTGATATGATTTAAATAAGATGATATGACTTAAATAGAATAGTAATTTTTTGACTTTTTATATTATTTAGGTTATGCCAAACTTGGCCTTAACACTAAACCATAACATCAATTTTTTTTTAAAAAAAAGAAGACCCCATAAGGAAATAGCTTAAAAACACCTTAATAATGAAAAAAAAAAAAAAAACTTTACCTTGCTGAAATTTAACTTTCCAATCTCTCATTTAGAAGTGTATAAAAATGATTAATTGAGCTAATTTAATTAGTTATTTTTTTATTAGATTTTATTTACCACTTAATATGACACACTAACAACAATTAGATAGTAATAGAATTTGTGTTGTGAATCATTTTATTAATAGTTATAGGATGTATCACATTAAATATAATAATAATAATAAAAAATTGGATTAGTTATACTTTTCATCTTTATAGTTTAATTGAAATTTCACTTTAATTCCTATAATTTTAATTAGCTTCTTCTGTCCAAATTAGAGGTTAAAATTAACAATTTTGAGACACTTGTCATTTTTTTAAGGTTTTAATTTGCTTCTTCTAAGGTTTTGAATTTTTTAAATTTAAAGTTAAATTTAACAATTTTGAGACATTTATTAATTTTATAAGGTGTATATGTAAACAAAATTAATAAACATTTAAACAAAAATATCAAATTAAAATTAGACTTAAAGAGTAAGAATCAAATTACTCAAATTAAAAATATAGGAAATAAAATAAAATTTAAGTCAAGTATAATTAATCCAAAAAAAAATTATCACCGATTATTATTTTTCCATTTTTAAGCTGTCCTTTTCTTTCGCATTGAGTGCAAGAAATACAGAAAGCTAGGTTGGAATTAAAGGCCACCTACCGCAGCTGTTTGCGAACCAAACGTGTGCGGGTTGGTGAGTGTGAATTTGTTCAACAAAATACGCTTCTTTTTATTTTTATTTTTATTTGTTTGTTTGTTTGTTTTTCTTTTTTTCCTTTTAAAAAAAAAATTCCTCTTTTATTACTATTATATGATCCACGCCTTAAAGGTTTACGTGTTTGTTAGTTTTTTTTGACTTTCAAAGATTAATAATATAAATTTAAGCATTTCAATAAGGATCAATTAGTCCTTATAGAATTTTAATTGTCAATAAATTATCAGACGATTGTGTTGAAATTCTTTCAACCTCAATGAAGAACACTTTTACTGGCGGCTTGTTTTAGAAGCAATTTATAAGAAATAACAAATACAGAACAATTCAGAATTTCATTGAATAAATAGGAACTTGCAATGAAATGACTCAGTCTTGAAAAGGTTTATAGCAATAACTACTTAAAACTAGTCCTAGGAAATGAAGTGCAGTACAGGAATTGAAGTGCTGATATGTAAAGAACTGAAAATGTAAAACAGGAAAATAAATATGAAGTAAATAATTAGTTCCTGGATCTGAGTCTAGAGTCCTTTACAATATAG